TAAATATATACTCCGATTTACTAATTTCCTTAAAAAAATCCGAATCACAAACTTTATTGACAATTAATTAATTAATTTGGCATTTAAAATGTATATCTTAACAAATTCTTTATTTTCCTTTCCACATATCCACAATTATTTTTTAAAAAATTCCATATATCCAGCTACATATAGAATTTCCCAAAATTATTTTTTTAACCAAAAAAGTACGCGGGAAAGGGAAGAGTAAAATGAGATGACGCCAATATTTTATTTAATAGTAGAGTGAGTAAAAATAAATAAATTATTATAGGGACGACAAACAAAAAATATTCCCAACACGTTTCTGTTAATTATTTTGAAAGGCAAATAGTACTTGTATTAAAAATGGTTGAGGTTATTCCATCGATTTACTTTAAGGATGGGATATAGGATGGATATACGTATTTTTAATTCCTTCTTAAAAAAATCTTTATCCAATTTAAAAATTAATTAATACCGTAAATCCTCTAAAATAGGCCCCCTCTAAAATAAGTCCTCCCTAAAATAAGCCCCCTCTAGAGGCCGATCGAAAAAATAAGCCCGGGGTTTTATTTAAGAGGATTTAAGGTATATATTATTTTTGGATTATGTAGGAACTCATAAAATAAATTTACTTTTTTTGAAATAAAAATAAGATAAATGTTTAAACTTTTTGATTTCCAGATGTTTCAACTTATAATTTTTTAAACATCTTTATTTTATTCTTTAAATTTTAACTATTTAATGGATTAAATAGAGATCAAGTTATATTTATTGTTTGAGCATCTTCTACTTCTAAATCTTTATATAAATTTATTTTTAGACAAAATATAAACAATTTAATTAAATAAAAATAGTTTAATTTTTTAATTAATATACAAAAATTGTAGAAAATTTTTAACATTAAATTTTTAATTATTTAAGTCCAATTTATTAATTTGATAATTTAATTAAACAAAAAAATTTTACCCACTAACTTTCAAATAAAATTTTTACGAATTTTTAATTTTAAGAATTTATTCCCACATTTATATTTTTTTCTTTTGTTTTAACAAAACTTTGTAAATAAAAATAAAAACTTTATAGTATATCATCTTATTAAATAAACTTTTTATTTTTATTCTTCTACTTCCTTATTATTATTTTTTTTTCTTTTACTTAAAATTTTTTTTTTATTTTTTATTTTTTTATTATTACCAAAACAATGTTTTTATTATTTTTTTTTCAAAAAATATATTTTCTGCTAATTATTTTTGTTTTTTAAATAAAAATAATTTTGCGTGACTCAATACTCCTGGGAACTAAAAAATAAAATAATAAATTATTTTATTTAAAAATATAAGGGTATTTTTAATTTTTTAATTTTATTATTTGTCTGCTCATAAAAAGTTGATTACCTAAATGTCTAGAAAATTTTTTTTCAAAAATTATTACTTTAAAATAATTTTTTGTATATAAACTACAATTAAATAATTTTTATTTTAAATTCAAAATATGTAATTCTGAAGAAAATGACATTTAATTGAAATTGAGTAAAAGTAAAAAAAACAAAATTATTTAAATTCTTAAAATTCATATAACTATCAATTAAATCTCCGCGGAAAAATTTTTCGGAAAATATTTGTAAATGGAATTTGATAAAGCATATTTTTGTGAGTATTTGCCACAAAACCGCTTAGAAATATCTTTCTCCGGGCCAGAGATATGATTTTTTGAAAATGGCAATTTTCTCTTAAAAATTGAATTTTTTGCAAAAATAGACGAAAATTGCCATTTTCAAAAAATCATATCTCTGGCCCGGAGAAAGATATTTCTAAGCGGTTTTGTGGCAAATACTCACAAAAATATGCTTTATCAAATTCCATTTACAAATATTTTCCGAAAAATTTTTCCGCGGAGATAGGATTTGGGATATCCGGCTTAATCCGGATATCTCGGCCAGTTTTCATTTTCATGAAAAATGCAGAAACATGTCAACTGAGATACAAATAGAGCTTTCGATTGCTATATAGAACGTATTTTTTGAATGAAAAATTATTGATTAAACAATCTAAAAGTAAATGTTCCAAACTTTTGCACCTCACTGTATTTATTAAATGAAAAATATAATTGAAATTAAATAATTATTTTGATTACATTCTTTTTTAAAGAATTTTTAAATTTTAGAATATTTTTTAAGCTTTACTTTTATTAATTATTTGGATTATAAAAATTAAATATGTTTGTTCTTGCTTGAACTATTTAAAAGTTTTATTAGAATTGCCCAATTTATGCCCCCTACTCTCTATAAATCATATAATATCCCATTCGGTTTTGACTCGAAAAACTGATTTTTTGGAAAATAAGGATTTTATACAGACAGTTATTTGACTGAATTTAAAGGCCAATTATTTGACTATGTGTATTATGTTATGATCGTGGGTTTCTTAGTCGATTATAAGTTAAATTTTGATTAATCTAATGAAACAAATACAATATAAAATCTATTAAATTAACAAGAAAACAAGAAATACTCTTATATGTTAATTTATGCTAATTCTAATTTACACTTAAATTAAAAATATTTTAATTCCACTTTTTCTTTAATGTTCGAATTTTTTCATTTTCGTTCCCATTTTATGTAAAATACACCAAATTGTGTCCCTTAGGACTTAACTATTTATTAGATATTATTTTTTATTAATTTTCTCGCAATAACAAATATTTATTAAAATAAAAAAAAACTGTTACTTTCCTCTACTGCCGCACCCCAAATTAATAGTAAAAATGTCATATGTATGGTAATAAAAGTCTAACACGAATATGAGACTAATTTTAAATAATCTTTAGAAACAGAAAAATCAAAGGAAAAATTGTTAATATGAGCTCGTGAAGCTTACCATGATTGATACCTAAATCATTTCGATCAAAAAATCCATGACATAATTACATATTATTACTTAATTGTCAGCAGCCAGTTCAAAAGTTATTTACTATTTAATTTAGCACAACTTTTTCAAAGCGTTCAATTCACATTGAAATTCATTCAACTTAGCTAATGAATTTTTCAAATTAGATATCCTATGCAAAATCGGATTTTTTATCCTAATCTGAATTTGGTTCCCTATATAGTTTTGTGTTTTTCAGCACAGGTTTTCAGTAATAAAGCAGCAAAAAAATTATTTTGCAAAAATATATTTACATAAATTTTTAATTTATTGTTTAGTATGACAAATAATTTAATTATTTAAATTTAAAAGACAATGCCATTTCCAGGAGTTATTTACAAACAAATAATTTTTTCTCTCTTTTTATTTAAAAAAATTTTTCCTTCAAGTATCAAGTGCAAACTTTATTTTTCTGTTATTATTCTCACGGTCAAATATTCACGAAAATAATGGATTTTTTTTATATATTTTTATTTTATTTTTTGAAATTAGACTAACGTCATTTTATTTGTCAAAAATTAATTTAAAAATAATTTTTAATTTTAATTTTTTGATGTATTTAGTTTATCTTAAAAGAAATTTTTAATTGAAGGAAATTATGATTGGTATACATCATTGGTCTAGATGACCCAATTCCCTATTCCGAAAATCGGGAATTTATTTCTTATGCCCGCTTGACTCCTGATAGACTTAAGAAAATTATTTTTAATATTATAATAATTCTGAAATTTTATATTTGAATATTAGAGAATATTAATATCTACATATACTTTTTGATCAAAAAATTATACCGACAAAATTCCATTTTTTATAATTTTTATTTTATTTTAATTAGTTTTTATTTTTAAACTTTTGTATAGTATAGTATTTTATCTTTTTAACCTTCCTCCTTTTATTTTTTAATTCCGGTAGATTTTTCATTTTTGTTAGTTTTTTCTGTTCCGTCTAAAAAATATTTTAAGTAAATATTCATTTAATAATTTCCATTAAATATCCATTAAATTTATTTCTCATTGTTTACATATTCCTCCGTCATTTCCCGAATTGTATGTACTTATACCCCCTTTATTTATATTTTTTTATAAAATTTATTCGCGTCAAAATTTGCATGGCTTCAATTTCCTTCATTTTAACCTTCATTTTTTGTTCTCACGGCATTTATTTAGAGTTTGCTTGGCTGTTCGGAGGGATATTGACTTACACTATCCAATAATTTTATGAACAGAATTTTTATTTGAAGATTAGAATTACTTTAAAATATACCTGAATATGTTTAATTATTAAAAAAAAAACAAATTAATAGTCGTGTCAGGCTAAAACACGAAACAGACAAAAAACGGTACCCACCAAGACACTGAGCAACCAAAATATGGTCCAGAGAAATAATTAATCCTTCTTTTAAAATATTCTGATTTTAAAAATATAAATATGTACTCTTTGTTTTAGTTAAATCATGTTTTGTTTGGACGATATTTTGAAAAAAATTTTTGCCCCCTATGCAATTAGTAATTTATATACATTAAATTAAAGGGTTTTCTGAATATTTTGTTGTACTTTTCTAATACTTTTCTCTTAATTACTTATAAAAAATCTCATTTTAATAAAATTTTATTAATAAAAATTTTTTTAATAAATATTATATTTATTTTTATCAACATTATTTTTATGATATAATCATTATAAAGTTTTTTACAGCTTAATGTTTACTTCAATCGGAATTTAAAAGATCGGAATTGTGGTTATACATACATAAATATTCATTAAATATTTTATAAACCTATTATTTGAACTACCATATTTTCATTTATTGGAATAAAATAGTTAAAATTTATAATTTAAATTAAAAGTATTTTTTCTAAATTTAAATATTTATTAATTCACTAATTTTTTAAAAAATATTTATTTACTACAATTTTTTAGAATATTTTTTTACTTAATCTTTTAGCCATTATTTTTAAAATACAAAAATAAAAATTATTTACTTCCTCAAAAAGAAGAAAAAAATTTTTGTACTTTTATTTTATTTAATTTTGAAATTTTTTTAAATTTAATTTTTAGAAGTAATTAAATTAATGGAATCTCTAATTTCTACTTAATTTTAAAATTTTCTTAAAATTATTTTCTACAAAATAAAATGAATTCTTCATTAAATCAATTAATTTCAAATAATTCTTTAAATAAAAACCAAAACCAATTAATTATTCCCCCTTCACCAGAAGATAAATCAGCCAATTATTTAGCGGCTGCTTCAGCCCTTCAATTAGTTGGGGATTCAGAAGAAAGTTCTTTATTGAGAAGAATTCCTGCAGGTATACAACTTTCGGGGACTTTAGCACCTTGGCAACAACAACAAATTAGTGAAGATGAGTAAGTGGAGTTATTAAAAATGATAATTATTTTTAAATAACAATTATATCCAATATCACGCTATAAATATATCCGGTACAAGTTACCCATCAATTTAATTTTTTTAATTTTTCAAGACTGTATATGATAGTCAAAAAATCTGGGGTAATATTCCAAGAAGAGGGTTGTGGGTTAGTTTACCCGAATCTGGGGGTAATCATCGAGTTCTGGGTTGATTTTTTGGAATAAGGGTTAACACTCAACTCGGGGTTCTATTACCCGAGTAAGAGAACTTGGTAAATTTACCAAGTACCCTTACCTCGTTCTTAGAATACCGCCCCTTATTATTAAAATATTATTTTTCACCCTCTATCTTACAGGGAGATCTTCTTATTTTTAAAATTATTTATTTTAAAAATATTTTCAGATTCTTTGCCACCTTACCTGTATTTGATATGTTCCCCTTAAGCAATGGAGACGAGAATCACGTTATTCTATATGCTTTGGTTTGTTAATTTGTTCTAAATAAAAATAATTATTTATAGCTTTATGCTATTTTGTTTCTTGTTGGTGTATGTGGAAATATTAGTGTTATTACTTTAATTAGGTAGGGGAATTTATTTTTTAAAAATTAAAAAATTATAATTAAAATATTAGATATCTCTGAAAATTTTTTAAAAATATTCCAAATTAATCTAATAATTATTTAAGACATTTACATTCAAATACAAGTTATGATAATACAATGATTTATGTTCTTTTTCTTTGTTTTGTCGACTTAGCTTCTGTTGTGCCCCTTCCTATGGCTATTATGGACCAAGTAAATTTTAATTAAAAATTCTTAGTTAATTTTTAATTTCAGTTACTCGGTTTTTGGATGTTCGGAACAGCCTTATGTAAAGTCTATAGAGCACTTGAACACGTTGGGAGGGCTTTAAGTACTTTTGTGCTTGCAGCTATGGCTTTTGGTAAAAAAATTAAAAAAATATTTATTTAAATTTTTAAATCTTTTAAAGATCGTTTTATGCGTGTTTGTTATCCACACAGAAAAACTAGGCAAATTTTTACCTTCTAAAAATTTTTAAAATTAATTTTTTTAGTCGCCGAATGGTCTTTATTCAATTATTATTATTAACTTTACTTACTTTTGTTCTTCTTTCTCCTTTATTAATTAAATCTTCATCTAGAGAAATTGTTTTAAAAGAAGTTTTATTAGAAAATCCTTACAGATTAGCTAGAGTTAGAATATTTAAATGTATGGATCATTTAGAAGGAACTCTTTTATGTAAGAAAATAAATTATTTTTTGAAAAAAGAAATGTAGTAGTTTATTGGAGGTCGGGAGGGAAATAATGGTGGCGGATCTCGCATGTGTGAATTTTTAGATCTTAGCATGACGGGAACACGCGGGATAAATCCTCAAATCCCAGAAAAAGGATCTTTGCTAGACGGGATCCTGAAAAAAGGATCTCGTCCTGCACCGAGTGTACGCCCCAACGTACCGCAGAGCTATAACTTCGTACAAAATTGTCGGATCTGAGACGCCGTGGCATGGTTCGATTCAGCTCGTCAAGATGCATTAAACCAACCTAGGGCGTCCCGGATCCGACAATTTTGAAAAAAGTTATAGCTCCCCGGTACGTTGGCCTGTTCCCCCGCACCGACCTCTATTACTTATTTTTTATTTTTTTTAAATATTTTCCTTTTTAATATTTTTAATATTCTTCTTAAAAATATTAAAAATTAAATCCTTAAATCTGTCATTAAAAATAATTTATTTAATTTAATTTAAGCATTCTTTATCTCCTATATGTTCCTTGTTGGATTTTTCTTACCTATTTTATTAATTACTGTTTTTTATGCTTTAATGATGAAAAGATTATTTAAAAGATCTCGATCACTTTCTAGTTCGAAGGTATTTTAATTTCGATTATATTTTAATTTTTAAAATTCCTTTTAGCTCCCAGTTAATCGGATTGCCGGGTATACAATAGCTATTTCTGTATTTTTTGTTTTATGTTGGAGTCCATATTGGATTAGTATGCTTTATTTTAATTTTGTCCATTGGGAAAGTGAAGATAATGAAAAACAAAGTGAAGATATTTTTAGGTAAATTTAAACCTAAAAAATAAATTTTAAATTTTGATTTTACTTGAAATTATTAACTTTAATCCCTTTTTCTTTCCCACTTAAATCTTAATTAAAAATCTCTTATCTCCAGACATCCCAAAAATAATTTAATAATCCAGATACCTAAATAAATAATTTATTTAATTGGATTACTAAATTAATTTGGGATATTTGGAGATAATACTTCTAAGGATTTTAAGTAAAATAATTTTAAATTTATATTCCTTGTAAATAATGTAAGGGAGAGGAAGATCCAGCTGGCTAGCATTTAAAACGCTTTAATAGATTTAAGATCTATTAAAAGACACCTGTACGTGATGAGCGCCAGGAGGTCGCAGGATCGAAGCCTGCCCGGGATTAAGCTTTTTTTAATTTGAAATTAAAGAATTTTTTGATATACCTAATTTTTTCTTTTAATTTCAAGTTCTGATAAATTTATTTATATAATGTATGGTGTCCATGCCCTCCCTTATGTCAATTCTGCCTCTAATTGGCTTCTTTATGGCCTTTTAAATAGTCAATTAATGCGGCGTGCTAAATATACAAGTGAAACTTTTTACAATAATACAACTGGAATGCCAGAAAATGGTTTTGGAAGTATTCACAGAAATTTTAATGGAAATACAACAACACCCCCACCCCCTTCACAAATAAGAATTGAATCTTCCAGAAATTCTAGTTTAGCTGTTACATCTAAATTAAATGGAAATGGCAGATGTAATTCAACATTATCTACACCTTTATTTGGTGGGGGTAATAGGAAAGGAAGCAAACAAGGTATAAAATAAAGAGGAATTAAATAAATATTTTTTAAATAAAAAATTCTTATTTTCGAAAATTCTTGAGATGCTTTAATTAAATTACGAAATTATAATAACTGTCAGTTAAATTTTTGACAGTCAATAATAATTAGAGTTGCCAAAATGGACCGACTCGGACCTAAATATCGAGAAGGGCCTAGAATATCTTGCCCGAAAAAGATTCGTACGGCCCGCCTCGATAAAATCAAGCCCGAAAAAATGTCTCGCCCGTTGGCCCGACTCTAAAACTGTAACCCTAATAATAATATTGAAATATCTCGCTCTCAAAATCTCTCAAAATCAAGCTAGCGAGATCTCGAATCGATAATCTCGAGAAATTTAGTTAGATTATCATCTCGTGGCGAAATTATAATATTAAACTATTGTTAAGGAATAAGATAAATATGTTTCCATATATAGAGAATTATTAAATGAATTTTACTACATGCCCCAGGGTTTTAATTGTTTTTAATTTTCTTTTCTTTTTTGTTTATCAAATTACAAAAAATTATTTTTAAATTTAAAATAATTTATAAATAATTCTTTTAGATATTTTTAGTTAGAAAATCAACAATTAATGGACAAATAATCTGTCACGAGAATGGAAGTGCTTTCTCTCCAAGTTTAAGCAGTCAACGTTCGATTTCTTCAGTATCAGCACCATTAAGGACAATTACTTTTAGTTCAATTAGACAACCAAATAATTTAAATAATAATTTAAATAATGAAGAAAAAGAATCGAGACAAGGATTATTAAGTCAAGAAGTTAATAATGATATTTTACTTTAAATAAAGAGGGCTATAGTTAATCTATTATTATTTACATACATACATTTAAGGGGGAGTGAGTTCTCCTGATCTAGAGATGGTCGGATTACTCGATCCCGAAACCCGATCAAAGGAATTTTGAAGCCCGACCCGACTTTTTTTTCACTATACAAGGGATAGTGCCAATACAAAACATATCCACTTTTTACGGAAGGGCATGATATCCAATATTTGTTACTCTTAAAATACATAATACAAAATATTTTAATTTTTACAGTTTTATATTGTTTGTGCCTTTTTTTCATTTAAAATTATTGTATAAAAATGATGCTTAATATAATAAATAAATATAAAATTCCGTTACAATATAAACTAAACTTTCGTTATAATCCCATCCCCATTAGACTGGTTGATTAATTGTTGGGGGTAGAATCGTAGTAGGAATCAGAGGTGAGTTGGAACAGTCAGAGGTGTCGGAACTCGGAAGAACCGAAATCGGAACTGGCTCAAATGTCGGAAATCGTAAATCAAAATTCCGACCCGCCTCTTGTAGGAATCTACTCTCGACTACCACAATTAAGTTAATTTATAACAATTATAAAAATTAAATTTTTAACATAAAATATTTAAAAATATATCTATTAAATAAATCACTTTCCTCCTTCAAAAAAAATTTAAATCGGCATTAACATTACAAACTTTTTTATTATCATCATATTGTTTAATTAACGGCTTTTTCCACCCTCCAAAAGGTTTAAAATCAACAAAATTAGCCTTATTATCATAATGTGGATACCAAAGAGGAAAATCATTAAATTTCGTAGAACCTCCAGTTATTGGTTGCCATTGGGCATTTGAAGTATAAATCCCTATTTTTTGTTTGTTTGCTTTAAGTTCATTAACCATTCCCTTTAAACAAAATTTTCTTTGTTTTTTTTTAATTTATTATTTTACCTGAATAAAATCAACATTTTGTTGTTTATTTGTTTTCCAATATTGCGGGCCTTCAACATCTATCCAAATTCGATCACATTTAACATTTTCTGCTTTTAAATTTTTGAGGATTTTTTCAATAATATTTCTAGATAAATTTTTATTTAAAAAATGATTATTCTATGCAATTTTTCAGTATCCCTAAGGATAGGACAGCTTTCGGATATTATTAATAATTAATATTTTCCATAGGAGAGGATGAAATAATTTAAAAAATATTTACTTTGGATTAGCATCTTTGCATTTAGCACAAGGGAATACATAACAATCAACATTATCAATCCCTGCTGCACGGGCATTTTTAATTGTATTAACAGAATTACTATCAAATTTATTATTTGATTGCCACACACGAATATAAATAGATTTATATCCATTTTTCTTAAAACATTTTGTTTGTTCTAAATTAGCTGGAGAGCTAATATCTATTCCTTTATCGGAATAAATGAAGTTTATGTTGTTAAGAAAATATAATGTTAATAAATTTAAAAAATAAAGACAAAACATCTTTTTTATTTAATGAAACTAAAAAAATTTTAAATAGTTTCATTGTAAAGGGTAAGAGAAGTTTTGGATCTGCTTAAAATAAAAGATAAAAACATAAGATATAGGTATTTAATAATGCCCACCAGAATTTTTTTACAAAATATCTGATCACAAATGGGGGTAATGAAAGCCATCTAATATAAAAGTTTAAATTTTTATACTCTTAAAACGCATCGAAGAACTGATTTTTATAAAAAGTTAAATACCTTTTTAAATCTTTATTTATGTATATCCATTAGAACATTAAAAATAATAAACAAAAAGGTAAAACAAATATTTATAAAATGATTTTTAAAGTAAATAATGTTGATATTTACTCAGAGGGGGGATTGTTAAGCTTACTAATATTACTTATATTTTTTATTAAGAAAAATTAAAGAAAAATTTTTTAAATTAAATAACTTTAACGATTACTTTACTTTACTTTAATTTATAATAAAATTTATTTCAGACATTTATGTAACACTAAATAAATTTAAATAAACAAAAATTGAATTAAAATATAAATAAATTATTTTAATTTATAAACAAAAATATGCACTTTTTATATTTTCAGTCTGGAAAATATTATTTTTAAATTATTTCTCATATAACTTAATTTTTATTTTTGAAAATTTTCAACTAAAAAGTACACTTTACACAACTGTATATATTTTTAAAATATTTTTTTTTGTTTTTTGAATAAATTATTTATTATATATTTTAAATTTAATTAAATAATAATATAAATATTTTTTAATTATAGTCTCGTTGGAAATTTTTTTTATTAATTTTTATTTAATTAACTTAATAATACAAATATTATTTTATTATTTATTTTTTAATTTAATTATCAATTTAATTCATAAATTCTTATAAAATAATCGAAAATAAACTTTCAATTAGTAAATATTTAATAAAAGTTATAATATGTAAGAATTATAATATTTTAAATTTCTTTTGTAGGTGCTACAAATTTGCTTTTTTATTTATTTCATTGATAAATCAGAATTGTTTAACTATGATATTTGGTGATGTATTAGTAAGTGGAATTACTGGAAAGATGTTTATTAAAAATCTGATAAAATTTCATAATTTTATTTAAAGAATTTAATTTTTTAAATTTATAATTAAAAAAAATTAATTAAGATCCAACAAATATTATTCGAATATTAATTGCTATTTTTCTTCATTTAATAGCTGTCCCAATTATTTTTATTTTTAAAAACATATCATATCGAAATGCACACAATAAAATATAATTTTGTCACAAGTCAGAAATAAAATTGTGACAATTTTTATTAATTTTCCTAACTCTAGTTTAAATAACCTTCATCTATGAGGCATAGTTTTTTCACATTTAATTCGTATTTTTAATCAAAAAAATGATCAAAACATGTATTCTCAACAAAACATTTTAAAAAAATATTTCTTAATCTTTAACTTTTATTACAAGAAATATTCTTTTTAATGTCTTTTACATTTTAAATAAATTTATTTATTACATTTTTTATGTGTTGGATTTTCTTTGGAGGTTTCGTGGCAGGCAATTAAAAAATATAAAGAAGAAAGAACATATTTTTAATACTCTTTCTAGTTTTATTTAAAAATTTTCTTCTCAAAAAATATACTAAATAGTAGGGTCCATCCTCCGAAACCTTGATGACTTCCGATCCCCGGAGGGTCGGAGAGCTACCTTACTTAAATAGGGTAATTTATGGATATATATCACCCCCCCCCCCTATTTTGAGTCTCAGTTTTCCTTAATATTTAATAATGGCCAGCCTTTTTCCCTACCTCAATTTATTTTCATTTCCCTATGGTAACTCACGGCGTAGCGTAAGATTCGAATTATATAAAAATTTTGGTTACATGTCTGTATCATTAAACGGTCAAAAACTATATAATTGAAAAATTAATCTTTTCTTTATTAATTGAATTTACCACAGGAAAATGGAGAGAAATTGAGGTAGGTAAAAAGGCTGACCATTATTAAATATTAAGGAAAACTCTGAAACTCAAAATAGGGGGGGGGTATATCCATAAAGTACTCTAAATAGTGCTATTTAAATAAATATTTAAAAAATGAATCTTGCAATTATCTTCTTAATATTATTTTCATTATTAATATATTATTCATTATGTCGTGAAATACCTAGTGGACCTAATCCTCTACACAATAAAAAATGAAAATAAATTTCGATTTATGGAAATTGGCAAGAAAAGATGGATAATAAATTAAATAATAAATTATATGTTTATGGATATAATTTTGAATGAGATAAAGTTTAATTGTTTAAAATTGTATTTTTATCCTTCGATTTCAAAAATATAAAAATTTCATCGGGGGACAAAATTTAACAAATTTTTTTTTAAATAATGTATTTTAGGTTACTAATTAATTAATTAGTAACCTAAAAAAGGTTACAGGCTACTAATTAATTAAGAAATTAAAACTAGTTTTGAAACGTTTCTTTGAATTTTAACTAACAAATAAATCTCTTTAATAAGCTTTAATAAAATTTCAATTCATTCGATTCCGATTTCTTTATATACAGATATCGTTCGATTTATTATTAATTGAGCTTTCCTGCCTGCTTCTGATAACTCGTACAGTGTTTCTGCCCCTCTAAAAATAATATCGAGTACACTACAAAGTACCGGGTAGCTATAACTTCGTTCGAAATTGTCGAATCCGTGACGCCCTGATATGATTCAATTCACCATACCAGTGCGAATCAAACCATTCTGAACGAGGTTGGCCTGCTTTTTCCATAGAAGAATTGAAATAAAATTAATATTTTTACTAAAATGTTAATTTTAATTTAACTTGTTTTGATATATCATAATTAGGGTTGTTTGTTTCGCACCGAAACCTATGATTTTCGGATCGGTTTTAGGTAAACGAAGAATTTGCCGAAACTGACAAACCTAATCATAAAATATAAAATTATTTAACAAACAAATACTTTTCCAAATATTTTTGACACAAATTAAATACAAATATTTATATAAACAAAAAGTAAATATACAAAATATTTACTAAAATAGGACTAATTAGTAGTATAATAATTTCCTTTTTGATAAGAGTATGTATAAAATAATAATAATTACTTGTACCTTATTCTTTCTCTTTAATTGTAATTTTTACGTAAAAAATGAAATTTTTTATAAATATTATAAAAAATATTAATTATTATTTTATTCAATTTTTGTTTTTTCCAATTTTTATTTTTTGTTTATCATGTAATATTCTGACAAAACAATTAAACGAAAAAATTCAAATAAAGACACCTCTTGGAATTATTGAAGGAAGGAGATATTGCATTAATGATTATGGAGATAAAATAGATGTGTTTTTTGGTATTCCTTTTGCTTTACCTCCAATTGGAAATTTAAGATTTGAAGTTTTTTAATAAATAATATTAAAATTAAAAATAATTTAAAGAAGCCAAAATCTATTCCAAAATGGAAGGGTATACGTTTAGCTACACAACCACCCCCAGCTTGCATTTATCATGCGTGGCCGGAAGGTTTTGATAAAAAGGAAAAGAATTATTCTGAGGATTGTCTTTATTTGAATATATTTGCACCCAAAATTGTAAAGGTTTTTAATAAAAGGATTGATTTAATTATCATAAGACTTGCTAATTAGATTATACCTTTAACTTGTAAGTTCCCTTGAGGATCAGCTGATTTTTTGTTAAATATCGAATCGAAAAAATTGATTCGAGATCTAGTTTTATGTTTCAAAACTTGTTTCTAATCTTAATTGATAAGTAGGGTTGTTTGTAGGTTCAAAATGATCCCTGGATACTGGAACCAAACCGGAGAACCGAACAGAAAAATCCTCGATTCGCTCCAACCTAGAACCCAATTGATGAGGTTTAACTAATTCTAAGCTTTTTCAAAATATTTTTAAACTATATTGCTTTAATTTTTGCAAATACACTTTATTACAAAATTTTTTAAAATTAATTAAATTTAAAGAGAAAAACACCCGAACCTATTCAACTATATCCAATTTTGTTTATAATTCATGGTGGTGGATTTGAAGTAGGTTCATCACATGAGTATCACAATTATACCGAAATTGGAAAAAAATTTGTTTCTCAAGGAATTATTGTTATTTCCATTCATTATCGGCTTGGATGGATTGGTAAATTATAAAAAAATACATGAAATCTAAAAATAATTTTATTAGGTTTTGGGTCTACTGGTAATGATGAATTGCCTGGTTTTAACAAAATATTTTTATTAATTACCGTATTATCTCTAATACAAGCCCTGGGCGTCTATTTTTCAATACCCCTCATTGACTGGGCTTCTAATAGGGCATGGGCTTCTATTAGGGCATGGGCGTTTATTTTTCAATATCGAAATTTTATAGAGATAAAAGATAAAAGTAACAGAATTAAACTGTTTATCAGGAAGAAAAAAAGAAAAGAATGTAAAAATTAAATATCAAAATCAATATAAATATCACTAAAACTCCTTTCCCTCAAACTAGTAGCGAGGAAATCCCTTATAATCACGCAAATCACTCTTAATGAACTCCTGAATAATCAGATTAAGCTCTCTATTCATCTTTATTAAATCCATTTTTGTAAATATCCGTTTAATTCCAAAATATTCCTCGATATCCCCCTTGCTCTTAAATCCATTTTACAACTTAACCTTCCATATCCCTATTATCCTTTCATTTTAACAGTATCCCACTCTAATCTTCCAATGCTCTTCTTCTAGTACACTAACTCTCCTTCTTAAGCGTCTAAATTTCTTAATCTCTCATAATCCTTCCATATCCTCAATGGAAAAATATGGAAGGATTATGGATACCTCTATCGATCGATGGATCCCTCGATAGATATTGAACTATTATTTGGCTATCAACGAATTAATAGGAAAAATATTGAACTATTATTCCTATTAATTCGTTAATAGCCAATGATATCCCACTCAATCATACAATAAGCTCTATACCACAATTCCTTAGATACCTTCTTAAACCCATATTTATCTCTAAACCCCCAATAATTTCTCCAAATTCTCTTAATTCACGTTAAACTCATTTCAAATTCACTTTAAATTGATTCAAATCTCCCGATATTCCATTCAAATCCCTCTGTACTCATTTTTGTAGACTGGAATTTTGTTATAAATACCTTTAGTTAACTATAACACGGGTAATAGAAAAACAGGAAGTCAAAAATTAGATGGGCTTCTATTAGGGCATGGGCTTCTATTGGAGCATGGGCCTTTATTCTTCAATACCCCCTATTGAGTGGCTTCTAATAGGGCATGGGCTTCTATTGGATATGGGCTTCTATTAGAGAAAATACGGTATTTAATAAAATTTTAAGGAAATTTGGGTTTATGGGATATGGTCGCAGCATTAAAATATGTCCGTCAAAATATTAAATCATTCGGAGGAGATCCTGATAAAATAACTATTTATGGTTATAGTGCTGGAGGAGCAAGTGTTTCTCTCTTATCAGCTTCTCCTCATAGCCAAGGTATGTTTGATTAATTTTGGTACTAAAATTATAGTTGATAATATTTTTTATTATAATATTTCTTCAATTTTAATCAACTTTTCTTGTAATAACTGATTAAAAAAATTATTCTAAGGTCTTTTTAAACGAGTTATTCAAATGAGTGGTTCTCCTCTTGCTGCTTGGGCATTAAACGAACGAACAGTTAATGAAACAATTAATTTGGCTAAAGCAATTGGTTGTTCTAAAACAAATTCAATTAAACAATGTTTGACTAAAATTAATATTTTTGATGCTTGGAATTTTGTTGATAAATTAGTTTTGTTGATTGTTTTATTTTATATTTTTTTTTAATTTTCGGGAACAACACGAAATGAAGATGTTAATTTTTCAAAATGGAGTCCTCGAATTGATGGAGATTTTCTACCTAAGGATTTTCCTCAATTAATTGCTAATGCTGAACCTAAACAAACAATAATGGGATTTGTTGAGTTAGAGACGTTATTGTGGAGTTAGTTAAATATTAATTTGTTAAATATATACTTAATCATTCCAATCAGAATTTTAATAGTCATTTTTAAGCACAATTCATGGGGCGTAACAATACATTAGCTGCTTATGCCATTCCATGGGAAGAATCGAAATACTTTGATATTCACCAATTTAAAGACAAAGTTAAAAGAATTGTTGCAAAAACTGAATTTTTTGGAGAAAAAATAGCTAATGAGTTGACTAATGAAATTGTGGAATTTTATTTAAATAATGATCCCCTTATTGAATTTAATCGACTTGAAAATACGACAGCCTCCAATTATTATTATTTACAACGATATACTTTGGTAATTAATTGGATTAGGAAAAAATAATTTTAAAAATAATTAGAAAATAATTTTCTTGATTTAAAATTAAAAACCGTTGAGTTAAAAAATATTCGAGAATAGATTTAATGAATTGCGTAAATATTAGAATTTTATTTCCTAAAAGTAAAATGTTCGTTATTGTATTTAGTTATTATTGTTAAATTAAATAGTTCAAAAATAAAATTACTTTTTAAAAGATTTTTTTGGCATTTACCTACTTAAAAATAAAATGTACAGATGAATCGCTCACAAAAGGAAAAAGAAGGTGACGTAGGAGAGGGAGTTATACCCACCTTATTTCCATATAGATTTACTCATGTGCTTTTTCAATAAAAAATAATTCCAAAAATTTATTTCAAATACTAGCTATTATCTGATCTTCAATTTATAATATCAGTGATTAATGATGCTCAATTAAAAATTAAAAATGGGTGGCCTATTTATTTATATTATAATCTTCATTATAATATTCAAGAATTTCCTCAAGAAGTTAAAATACATCGTAAGAAAAATAAAAAAATATTTTAAATAATTTTATTTCAAAGAAAATTTTCACACAAATGATGAAAATTTTATTTTCCATTATTCTCCTTTTAATTTTGCATTAAACGAAGAGGATTTGTCTGTTGAAAGATTTTTAGTGCAATCTTTTGTTAATTTTATTAAATTTGGGTAAAATTTAATTAATTAATTTAGAAATATTTTTTAAAGAAATCCTTCAATATTCGAAATTAAATGGCACAAAGCTACTCAAAAAATGCCAACAAGACATATCAGAATAAATGGACAACAAATACTTGAAAATCATTATGATTTGGATTTATTAGCTAGACGAGAATTTTTTCAAAGAATTTCAATTAAATATAGACATATTTGGGATTTGGTTAGGGGAGGGCCCGAAAAATAGGAAAAGGAAAATGACAAATTTAATTAATTTAGAAAATGTTTTTATCTCTTAATTTTGAATAAAAAGTTGTTAATACATATTTGTATTAAAATTTTAATCTTAAAAATAAATAAAATTAATTTTATTTTTCAAAAATTAGTTAAAATATTCGTGAGTTAAAAATAACAATAAAATTTCATGTACATATTTAATTCTAAATTTTATTTTTTTTTAATTTATATGTTTAACAAAGCTCACAACTTTGAATACAAAATTTTAATCGAATCTCTTGCTTATAAAATTTATTTTTGCAAAATCCATTCTTTGCCCAGAATTGACAACTAAAATATTTTTAAATAAATATTTTTAAAATAAAAAAAACTTTTTATGTTCATCAGTACAATTTACTGAAGGTTTTGGTAATATTATAGGTAAATCTGGTGGAGGTAAAATAACTGGCTCTTCTGGTTGAACACCGATCCAAGAATCTGTTGTTGTTGTCAATATATCCTCTGCTGTTGCTGTTTTATTTAAAAACCCTCCTCCACCTTCCAAAGGAATTAAGGATAATAATTCTTTTATATTTTGATTCGGTAATAAATTAGAGGGGGTTAAATCTGTTTTGTTGTTAACTTTTTAAATTTAAAATTAATTTTTTAAATAAAAATTAAAACAAATTAAAATTATCAAATATGTATAATCAAGCGAAAATTATTTAAAATTAAATTTTCTATTATATTTTTTGTCGTTATATTTTAAAATACCAATAATTCAAAACATCAGTCTTATTCTTATTACGAATTTAATAGTTAGGACTAGAGACCGGATTGGGAGTGTCGTACAAAAATCGAGATCGAAATCTCGATGATCTCAATAACCGTGCTTTTGTTTGAATTCTCGCCTTTGTCAGGTCGCCCAGTATTTTTATAAGAATTTTTATTTTTCATTATATAAATTTTTTTAATTTTATTTCCGTCTAAACTTAAATTACCTCTATCCAGTCCTAAAGTATTATTATTTTCAACACTTTTATTCTTATTTTTTAATCCTTCCAACATATGTGGAGCATTATCTAATGGCTGTTGATTTTGTTCATTTATTTTTTCTTCTTTTTTAATTTCTTTTTGAAAATTAAATGGTTTAATAATTTGTTGTTTTTGTGTTAAAACAAAAATAAATAAATTAATAATTATTAAATAAAAATATAAAAACATTTTTTAAATTAATTTTTAATTGAATAACCCTTTAAATAAATTTAATTTTGCTAAATTTAAAAATGAAATTTCCAAATTTAGAGAACAATTAAATACTAAACAAGCTAATAATGACAATGATATTACAAAATCTTTTGTACAATTATTGTTTTTATTTTAAATAAAAATCTGTTGAATAAACAAAACAAAAAAACATAAAAAAATAAAAATGTCTGAATTGATTATTATTTAATTTGTAAATTATTGATGTAAAAATTAGAAAAATACAAATTTTTTAGTAAGGATGTCGGATAGTTGGAAATTTTCGGTTATCCGGATCCGACAACCGTATTGTACATATAGGCCTTTAAACGGATTATACAATGAAAAAGTTATAGGTCTGGAATTAATAATTTAATAAATTAAACTTAAAAAGATGTTTGTAAAAATTAGTAAATTTAAAAAAGAAAATTTAATTAATTTTTTTCTAAAAAATTCCTAACTTTTTTTTATCAAAAAAAAATATTATTTTCATTTTTAACAATTTTCCAAATATTTTTCAAATATATTGTAGTAAATAATTGCCTTTAATTTTTCTTATTTTTCATCAATGAAAGAAATATTTGGTAAAACATAATATACTAATTTAATAGAATATTTTGATTTAAAAAACAGAAAATTATATTTTGGAATCATTTTTAAATAATAATTTCTTTTTATAAAAATAATAAAACACACATTTACAACAGGGCTAAAGAATTTTGAATTTTAGAAAGCGGAAGACAAAAGGCGGAATCGGAAGATGATCCAGCCCTAATTTACAATTAGAGAATTTAAACTACTACTATTTTTTAAGTCAAAATAAGTTCCAAATTATTATTTTAATAAAAACTTTTATTAAATGTCCTCACTGATTGAAAAATATTTCCATCTACAAATTCTAAAATCAGCTGAATATTTTGATAATGAAATTGCAATTGTAATTATTTTAAAAATAATTAAATATAAAATAAATTTAAAATTATTTAATTTTTTAAATAAATGATTGAAATTCTTTAAGTTATTTGTGATATAAAAAATAATTTTGTATAATTAAAATTTATTGAAAACATTATTTAATTAATTAAATAGACAGACATATCAACTGGTAGTAGTCTAACATTTTCTGATATTTACAACAAATCCATCCAATTATCTTCTGTTTTACATCAATTTAAATTTTTAAAGCCTAAAGATGTTGTATTATGTGTTTTAAATAACAATATTTATTTTCCTGTAATTTTACTAGGATTTGCTTTAAATGGAATTTTAGTAACAGGAGCATCTCCAAATTCAACAATAGGTTAATGAAAATTTATTGAAAAATGTTGAAAATTAATTGATATTTTTTTGAATTTATTTAGTTAAAAAGTTAAGGGGAAAATTTTGGCCATAAGAAATAATTTTTCATTAAAATAATTTTTAATAAAAAATTAAAGATAGACGATAATAGACGATAATCCTTAGAATTAGCTGATATGTCTGATAAATTTATAAAAATATTTGAAAAATATTTCTCGATTTATTACCCTATTTAATTAGTATTTCGAACTCTCAGTATAGAGAATAATTAACCTTAACTACATAAACTCTTTACCATCTTCAATTAAAAATATTATATTTATTTTTTAGAAGAATTAAATCATTTTATAAACAAAACTGGTTGTAAAATTATTTTAACTGAAAATGGAAAACACCTTGATTGGTTAACTTCAAAAACTGAAGAATTGGACATTAAACTAATTTTGCTTGATAAAAAGAAGGAACAGAAAGGAATTGACTTTTTTGAATTTTTAGAATCTAATAAAAATATTGAAAATAGGGAAATAAATAAATTTTTGGAGGAATTTGAATTAACTAAATTTTTGGGTGATAATAGGGATGACGAGGATGATGATCCTCTTTTTGTTGCTCTTTTAAGTAGTTCAACAAGGTAAAATTAAATTAATAATTTTATTAATATATACGTATCTTTTAAATTTAAAGTGAATCTGCTAAAGTTATTCTATTAGTAAGTTAATTTAAAAATATGCAAGTAACCATTCTTCCAAATTTTCTGGTAAAATTATAAAATCTAGATGGTAAAACATTTTAATAAAATATTTTATTTTATAATATGTACAAATTTTGTTGAAGGATTTTCGAATAAAAAAAGAGCCCAATTTCCCGTACACCCTTGAAAATAATGAAACAAAATTAGTAATTTCTACTCTTTATAATTCCCTAAAATAACGAAATCAGTTTAGCTTCTTTATTTTAGAGTGTTTACCATTATAACTTTTATTAAATTATTTTGTGTTATACTATTGCTTTTTGGAAAATTAGGCGTTTCAAAATTATTTTAAATAATTTTAATTTAGACTCATCGAAATTATATTAATACAACTGAAATTCTCAAGTAAGATAATTAAAGAATTTTTAAATAATATTTCTTTTTAATTTTAGGCCAATTTTTGACAAAATAAGTAACGGCAAAAGAGGCATAACAATTGCTGCCCAGCCATTCTACCATGCTTCTGGTAGATTAAATAAATTTTAATGAAGGATTTATTTATGTAGGTCTTTGGATTCTTTGCTATTGTTTATTATTTGGACATCGTTCATTAGTAATAAATGAATTTGAGCCTATTAAATATTTAAATGTTGTTGAGGAAAATAAAGTAAAAAATAATTTTTAAAAATCTTTAAATAAAAAGCCTTTAATTTAATTAAGATAGAAACTCTTTCACTTAATCCTTTAATGATTGCATCAATTGTTGAGCAAATAGAAATAGGCAAAGAAAAATTTGATTTGGTTTCTTATTTCAATATTTTAATTTTAAAATTTACTTTAATTCTTTAGTCTTCAGTAAAAACAATAATAAGTGGGGGTTGGATGGATCCAACCAATGCTAGCGAAAAACTTATTAATTATTGTTCTTCTTTAGAAAATTTTGTTAACAGTAAATTAAACAGAAATATATTTAAAATAATTATTTAAAAAGGTTATGGAATGACAGAAATTGTGTTGGTTAGCCATATGATTCCTTTAGGAATGGATAAAACAGATAAAAGAATTACTAAATCTGTTGGACGTTTATTGCCTGGATTTGAATATAAGGTCCACTCTTTTACCTGATATAAAATTCTTAAAATATTTTTTTTACTTCCAAAGATTGTGGATTGCCTTTCTAATGAGGATTTGGTTTCAAATAAAAATTATTCCCCTGGTACAAAGGGTGAACTTTGGCTTCGATCACCAAGCATTATGCATGGATATTTAAATGACCCTATTTTAAATAAAAAGGCGGTTGATAGTGATGGGTGGTTTCATACTGGTAATTTTCATTAGGCATTATAGAAGATTTTCTTTATAAAGGCGATATCGTTTATGAAGATCATGACGGATTTTTCTTTGTTTTGGACCGAATTTCTAATTTAATTATTGTTGATGGACATCAAGTTTGGCCGACTGAATTAGTCTAAAAAATAAAAATATTTTAGAAAATTATTATTTCAGGAAGCTATTTTAATTTTACATCCAAGAGTCCAAGAGGCTTGTGTAGTTGGAGTTAAAATAAAAATAAATGAAAATTTTGTGGATGCACCAAAGGCTATAGTTGTCTTATCAAAAATTGATAATGAAGAAGAAAATGAAAAAACAATAACTCTAATATTGAACGAAATATTGCTTTTTACAAATGGTAATTAATTTTAGATGGGAAATAAAATTACTAGTTACTTAAAAAAAATTTTTTTAATAGAACGGCTCGAACGTCATCAACAAATTACTGGAGGTATTATGTCTGTGGATGTTTGTTTTCTTGAATTTTAAATTCTGTAATTCTTTAAATTATTCAGAGTTTGCCAAAAACACCTTTTGGAAAGATTGCTAGAGGAAAAGTTCGTGGAATGTTTCTAAAAGACTGATTTGGAAAAATTAATTTTTAAGAATCAAACAATGATTTTAGAATCTAAAAAAATATTAGTTTTAATTTTTTATCTTTACTTATTCAAAACATTACTTCCAATTTGTTCTTACAATAAATAAATAGGTGTGTATTTAAAATGTTGGTACTTATTTAGCCCCCCACTCACTCAGTCAATTTTTTGTTTTGATAATAGCTCATTCAAAGGTTCCTAAAAATTGAAAACCATAGGCGGAGTGCGTTTACCACTTTTTAAAGATAGCTTCTTTAGTCCGTAATATTTCTATGATTCGGTACTTATGGCTATTGTTTTTCAACCCCACTAAGTTAATAAGTTGTTAGGTTTTGTTTAACTTATACAATAAAAATAAAACGAGGTTTTATTTTAGTTATATGACATTAAAAAAATAAAAAAATTTTCTATTGAAATTTAATAGAGATTATTTAATTTTAGAATATTTTGCAGCATAAAAAATAATTTTCAAATAAAAAAGCGAAATTTTATTTACTTTTTGCCACGGTGGAAAAAAGTAAATAAAATTTATTTTTGGAATCTTGCCAAAATCTAAAAATAATATTCAAAATAAAATGAAAAACATGTGAAGTATTGTAAAGACTCATGATTTTGAATCGTCAACATAAAAAATATAAAAATTCTTAATAATAATATTTATTGCCAAAATGGCTCGTAAAGCCAAAAAAGCTAAAAAAAAGCTCATAAATCGCCAAAAAGGCTCATAAAAAGTCAATTCTGAATATGTTTAATTGTTCACCTGCTAAATTTTTCTTTATTAAATTTTTAAAATATTAATTTTTAAAATTCTTAAATAGTAAATAAAGAAAAGTAAAATAAAGGTAAATTAAAACAGCAATTTACTCGAATTTTCTTCATTTTAAAATAATAAACTTACCGAAAAATATTCACATATTTTATTAAATAAAAAAATACAAAATAATGAAATTAATTAAATTATTCTTTATTTTATTAATTAATTTATTATTTTTTATTCAATTTATATCGAGTCGTTGTGTGCCTACAGGGTCAAATCCAATACATAACTGTCATGGAAAATGAATTCCAGGTAAAAATTATATATTTAGATGAATATTTAACTAATAATTAAATAATTTAGTATTGATGAAGAATATAAAAAATGAAGGGAAAAAAGAAAATAATCAACATTATAAGAAAATAAATTTTTAACCAAATTAATCGGGAACAAATAATAATTGGTTAGATAAATGCTAAATTTTAAATAAATTTTAATGGTTTTCTCAAATTTAACATAATTTAAAAGCTTTAGTTGTCGAAATATTTTTAAATAAATCTGTTCCGGTGTTGAGATTAGATTTTTAGCAGAAAATATGAGAAATATCCGACTTTGCGCATTTAAATTTGCGGACCCGACTTTGCGGAATCAAAACCTGCGGATCAGGATTTTACGGATCAGAGAGTAAATAACTTTTTGTTCTTATAAATAGTCAGTAAAAGATTCATAGAAATTTATATGGATTTTAAAACTAAATTTATGTTATGTAAATTTTGTGAATAACAATAGTGCCAACCTCTTTATTCACAACCCCACTTGGGCCGAATTTTTCTGACATAAGAAAAAATGCTGTGACGGGAATACTTATAAAGGGAAGTATTTTTGTCAAATCTTCGTTTTTATTTTGAAAATAATTATTTTGATAAAATCAAATAGTATATGTATAAAAATTGTACGATGAATGATCGAAATTTAGACAAATTATTAGATGAAATATAACTACAAGTTTTTATCCTTACAAAATTAAATTTTGCTCAAAATTTTACTATTTTAATTTATTAGTAAAATAATTTTGAATTTAATTCTAATCCAAAGTTTTATCTATTTTTTAAAAACAAAAATTTTTATAAAATTATTGTTTATAATTTAAGTAAAAATTTATAAAAAAAATGTTTTAGTTGAGGTATTATGTATAAATATTTAAGTATTTTTATTTATACCAATTAAATGGCATACATATTTATTTTCTTTACATTGTTAATTTTTGTTAGATATGTACATAAACATATTTTTATATAAGCTTTGTTTGCCAAGGATATTATTTTATTTTTTGATTAATAAAAAATATATATCTTTATTATTTTTTATTAATTTTAATAAAATTATTTTTTCTATTTTTTACAATAAAATAAAAACAATTATAATTAGTTATAAGTACTAACAACAAAAATTTTAAATAAAAACATTAAAAATGATTAATAAATTAAATAAAGTCTATTCTTCGTTTAAAATATTTTCACAAAACAAAAATGAAATTTTAATGAATGCAGATTTGTTAAAAACAGATTTGATACCTATTGAAATAATGACAAAAAATTTAAATAAAACTATGAAGGAAGGTACGAAAAAGGAAATAAAATGTACATGTAGATATTTATGGAATGCTGAATTACATGGATTAACTGCTTTTTTAAGAGTAAATAAATATAAATTTATTTAATATTTATTAGAGCCCGGACGGAGGGCTCGGTCGATATTTTTTCGATAATATTGAAAAATATATATCGAAAAAATATCGTATCGAGCCGGGCTCTAATATTTATACAAAAGCTTTAATAATCAGTAGTGAACTTAATCAGGGATGGGGAAAATCCTTTTTTCTTATTAAAGTTTTCTCAAAACAATAAGCAAATTTCTACCAAAATATTTTTACAAATTTTTTAAAATAATTTAATTAGTGCCGTACAATGGCTGAAAGAATATTTTGGGGGTGTATTATTGCTATTTGTGTTTTAATGTCAATAATCACGACAGAATGGATGTTTAATGATTATTTAGAACATCAAACAGCTACATTAATTACTATAGAACAAAGGCAACGAAATCAAGGGTTTAAACACAATAAATTTAATAAATTTTTCTTTTTGTTTTTTAGAGAAAGAGGGTTGCCAATGCCTGTTTTAGTTATTTGTCCAAAAAATCCAGATTCTCTAAAATATAATTTAATACTTAAAGATATTAATCGCCGCCTTCCTCGTATGGATCGAGTAACGATAGGGCGATTAATTAGTTTTGCTATTGCTGGGGCAGGTTTTAGTAATGTTGGGCAATTTATGAGACGAAGAATCAAAGAAAATATTAGTGATCATCAGGTACTAGTAAAAATTATATAGAAAAACTGAATTTTAAAATTCTTGTTTTTCGATTTGAACAATCAAATTTACTAAAAGATTTTTAATAGAAAAACAAAATACCCAACATCTCCCTTATTAAAATTAAAATTTAATAGACCCAACATCTTTATTCACTATTTCGCCGCTGGCGTGGCTATCGAAGTCTCAGTGAATTTTATGATACTTTATTTAATAAATATGGATATACATGCAAAGATGTTTTTTTTAATATTTTTTTTAATTTGGATTTTTATTTTTAAAAAGTTATTCCAAAAATGTTTATACGGATATGAGGAAATACCTTGTTGTGATATTTTTCGCCCTCATTATGTTATGCTGCGAGGACGCTGTATGAGATTAAGATATATTATGCATCAAACTGATCCTGCTGATATTGGAAGAATTGATGTTTATTTGGTTAAAAAAATTTTAAAAAATTGTTGAAAATAAATTTGATTTATAGAATCAATTGCCTAGTCGTCTCACTGATAAATCAGGAATGCAAGTTGCTTATTTAATTTTATTTTAAAATGAATAATAATTTAAGCCACAAATTGTTGCCTATATAACAGATGAACATCAAGCAGTCGGTACATTCCCTCGTTATTATGTCCATTTTCATTCTGCTGTATTATTACGTGCTAGAAATAGACAAATAAGTATGTTGCCTGATAATGATCAATGTTATAGTAATTATGGGAAAGATGTAAATTTAATTAATCAAATAAATATTTAAAATTATTTTTTTAGTATAAAGGAAGAAGTTCGTGTTGGGTAAAACGTTGGTTACATGAAAAAATTGTAGAACCGTTTAACTGTACAGTTTTCTATCTTGGCAGAAATAGATACAATTATTTACCCATTTGTGAACCTATTACTATTGTTAGAAATTATTTAGATGTTACAAATTTAAGATTGGATAATGATACACGAAAAAGAGTTAAAAATAATATTTTATTTTTAGATTTTAGGAATTTTCTTAAGTCTTTATTATCTTCATAGAAATGATTGTTATCAATTAACTATCAAGTTCAGATAAAATATAAAAAATTTTATTTTAGTGTAAACCTGCCTGTATTCGATCTGAACATACATTTCAAGAGTTTAGACCAAAAGGGTCTGTAATGAAACGTAATTATATGCCGGCATTTCGAATTGAAATATCTTTTACTAATTTAGAGGTATTTTTAAAGAAAAACAAAAATAAATATTTTAATTAAAGATAGAGGTATATCAGGAAGTATTGACAACAACATTACCTGGATTTGTTTCTCAATTGGGTGGACAATCAGGGTTATTTGTTGGACTTTCTGTTTGTTCTATAATACAAATAGGTATTTCAATTGCTTGGAAATTGCATTTGTGGTATAAAAGATTTTTTGATGGAAGGGGAAATGAAAAAATTTGAAATAATTTTTGGGATGATTGAAATTGAAGAAATCTCATTTTGATTTTAAAAGTTTTTAAAGTTTTCTAAGTTTCATCACATTTGAATATTTATATTTTTAAATGTTTTGTTAATTCAAATTATTCCCTCAACAAATATTTTTCTTTTATATATTTAAATGTTTCAATTCCTTATCAAACACATTTTTAGCCCATAGATAAAACTTGAATCTTATCTAACTTTGCTTTTCCGCCTTCTATCACTTATAAAGGGCGGAAAGTCTCTTTTGAAGTCTAGGCTGTTTTTGAAGTTTAGTCTGTTTTCTAGACTAGACTTTTAATAAATAAAATTCCTCTAATACAGTTAATAGTCTTTCTTTTTCTCAAACAAAGTTGAGAGGTTTAAATAAATAAAAAGTAAAGTTGTGTAAATCTTGAGCACTCGGTCACAACAAATATCTTGGGCAATAATTTTGACATGAATCAAAGTTATTTTTGTATATTTATTTTTTATTCATTATTTTATATACGAAAAATTCTTAAAAATAAAAATTATTAAGTTTGAATTTAATAAAATTAAAAAAATAAAATAAAAATAATTTATTTTCTTTAAAATTTTTAATAACAATTCCTTTCACTTTTTCATTTAACAACATCTTAAAGAAAAATAACATTTTAAGAAACGAAGGTCATCCCCATTCAACAGTCATCGAGACCAATTTATCTTTCAAATTAGTTTATTTTGAAAGGGAAATTGTTATTTTGTAAAGAAATGCATGAAAGTTAAAATTAATTTATAGTCAATTAAATATAAATTTCTGCAAATCTTGATAAGTTTATTTATATAAAAATTCAAAAGATTTTTGAATTTTGAGTTCAAAAATTGTTCAAAAATTCTGCTCTTTTTTTCAAAAATTCTGTTCAAACATTCCCAGTAATTTAAGGAAGAAATGCACTAATATTTATAATAGCCATTAGGGTCATATGATTTTTTGTGTTTATCTCGTGCTAGGCCGGATGAAATAAAAAGATTTTCTTTTAGTTTGTAATAAAAATGGCTTGATTGATTGTCATTTTCTGATTCTACTTTAAACATAAATTTACTTTTAGCTTCCTACTTTTATTTTTTTTATTTCTAATGTTTTAAATATTCTTTTTTATCTTTAAGTTTTAAATTTAAGAAAATGTGTGTATTTTTAAGATTTAAAAAACATTTTTTATGGGAAACCGGAATGGGCTTTTCCTTCATTTTCGCCTTCCACGGAATCCTAACCTTTTTGACTAGGGTTGTTGGCGGCCGGTTTTAAACCCGGAATTTTTGAAAATTTTTGCCGAAAATTAGCCGTTTTTAGAAAATTTTAGAAACCGGAAACCGGAAATTTGTGAAAATGAGTGACTTCATTAAAAATTCCCCTAAAATAAACCGGTATTTGCCTAAAACTCAAAACCGAAAACCGGATTTCTAAAATTTAGATTAACCGAAAACCGTGGGTACCGGTTAATAATCGGTCGCCAACAACACTATTTTTGACCATTCTTCTTCCACGTCCCGTTTTTTACTTTTAAAATGTTACATTTAAAAAATTTAATAAAATATTTTTTAAATATCTAGAATATTTAATTAAAATTATAATGAAAAATAAACATTTTTTGTTTATTTTTTCTTTATTTCTGCTACAAATCTCTGAAATATTAACAATGACAATTGGGAGACAACGAGAATTAAATTATATTATTTCTTGGGTAAATAATAATCATTTAAATGATGATTTTCTTTGGAAATTAGATAGACAGTTATATATTTGTGGAAAAGAATATAATAAAAATGAGGGAGATCAGGATATTGAAATAAATAATCAAATAAGTCGCCTACAATTTGAGTTTACAATTGTACAGACTACATGCTCTAAACAATTAAATGTAAGTCTAATTACTTTTAAATTTTTTCTCAGAACTTGATTATTACAAAATCTTTCAATCTTGAAACACCCAGATTTTTAAAATTCGTTTTCTATTAAATTTTACTTTTATTTTTCTATTAAATTTACAATAATACCTACATAATTTTTACTCAAAAAAGAAGTTGTAATACTTCGGCTGACGCCCCTCCCCCTTCTTTCCTGTTTCCCTGACCATTTTCGGTTTTTTGTTTGGCATATAATTTATTATATACCATTCGAAAGAGCTATCCGATCTGGGTAGATTGATACGATAATCGGTTAGATTTAGGGATTTTGAACAAAATTATGAAGCTATATCTCCATGGACATGCTTTTTATGAGATTGAAAGGGACTAAAACAAATGCTCATAACTATGTTGATTTAAGTCAGATTTCGATGATTCTAGAGCAGTTCGACTCAGCCCGAAGAGCTCTTTCGAATGTATATAATTCGTAATAGAAAATGGAAAAGACAGAACAGAAAAAAGAGGGCGTCAGCCGAAGTTTTACCGAAGAAGATTAATAATTATTAAGTTTTGTTAAAATTTTAGACAAATGGAGATATTTCTTATTGTCCTGTAAATGAGTTGGCAAATAATAAAAAGGTTAAAGATTCAAATTAAAAATTTATTTAAATATTTCCTTTTTAGGAATGTTCCTTTGATATAATTAAAGACCAAAAAGAAATTGAAATATTAGATTGGGCATGTTTTTCTTTAAATAATGAGGAGGAAATAATTGATAATGAAAGTGATGAAGATTATATTATTTGTTCTAAAGCTAACGAATTAACAAACACATTAGTTGATTCTGTTGGTCGTTTGGATGGACTTGATAAACAAGGATGGACTAAATTTAGAAGATTTGTTCGAAAGTAAAATTTAAAAAAATATTAAGGAGAACTAAGACTAAAGTAGTCTGTGTTATTAACAGAGAGAGGGACAAATTTTTGTTACAGTTATTGAGAAATATTTAAAGAAGTTAGTGTATTTTTGGACAATTCTAGTGTTAATTATGTAACGAATATAGCTATTTAATTCCTAAGGCTATGCAGAGGCGGTGTGGTATAATGAATAACACTTTGTTAAGCTGAAAATACTGGTTCGATCCCAGCCGCCGTGAGAGCTAAGAAATATAGATATGGTCCTAATAATAAACCTTGGCTGAAGGAGAAAAGCTATAGTTCTAGTTCAGTCTACATTATTATTTAAAACCTCAGGTTACTAAGTAAACTGCACTTTTGAAAAATCGAAAATTAATTTATTTAAGACAAACCGAAATTTAATTAATTAAATATACCAATTTTTATTCTCATATAATTTAATGATGAAAATAAATTACCTATTTATTTTAGATATGGCCCTAATTATACAAAAGCATCAGAAGTATTGAGCCGTTTCAATAATTATGTTAAAAACTTGGGGAGAGCTAAGAAATATCAAAAAAAGGAATTGGGTACAGCAATTTATGGAGAAACACAATTTATGGATTTAAGTAAAGATGAATTTAGAAAAGTAATTAAAATTAGTTAAACTAAAAATATTCTAAAATAAAAAAAGATTTATTTGCCCTTTCAATGGCCTTTAAATGTTGAAAATACACAAATAGCACCTCATATTGAAGATAAAGATTTACCAAATTCTTGGGATTGGCGTAATAAGGGTGCCGTTACTGACGTGAAAAATCAGGTAAATTATAGGGAAAAAAATTTTAAGCTTAATTTTAAGGGTCAATGTGGAAGTTGTTGGGCATTTAGTGTTACTGGAAATATTGAAGGACAATGGGCGTTAAAAAAGGGTAAATTACAGGCATTATCTGAACAGGAACTTTTGGTTTGTGAATAAATAGTTATTAAAAAATTTATTTAAAACTGATAACAGTTCTAATTAAATTATTTTGGTATACCGTAGTTTCTTGAATAGTTACCCTTAGTATTCGAATTTTGAAATTTGAAAGTGGTAGGAACCAGAGGTGGGTCGAAATACCGATTTCCGTCTTTTGAGCCGGTTCCGATTTCCGGCTCTTCCGATTTTTGACACCTCTGACTGTTCCGACCCACCTCTGGTAAAAAACCTAAAAAAAACCTCTAGAGAGGGGTTAATTATTCGAAGGGGAGTTAATTAATCGAGAAAATAATGACTTGGAAAATAAATATATATCTAATTTAAAAGGACTGTGATCGTGTTGATATGGCTTGTAATGGTGGACTACCTTTACAAGCATACAAGTTTATTTAATAATTATACATACATATTTATAAAAATTAATTAAAGAGAAATAATACGTATTGGAGGTATTGAACCAGAAAATGATTATCCTTATGATGCCAAAAAAGAGCATTGTAATTTAAATCGTTCTGATCTTGCCGCTTATATTAACGGGTCTTTACAATTAGAAAAAGATGAAATACAAATGGCTAAATGGCTTGTTAAAAATGGGCCTATATCTGTCGGTAAATAATTTTTTGAACTTCAAAAAAATAATTTATTTAAATATTTAAAGGAGTAAATGCTTTCCCTTTACAATTTTATCGTCATGGAATTTCCCATCCTTTGCGTTTCCTTTGTTCCCCAAAAATGTTAAATCATGGAGTTCTTATTGTTGGATTTGGTCAGGAAGGAAATAAACCTTTTTGGATAATTAAAAATAGTTGGGGCAGAAATTGGGGTAAATTTAATTATTTGAAAAAAAACATTTATTATTCATAAAGGTGAGCATGGATATTACCGCCTTTACAGAGGCAGCAATGTTTGTGGCATTCATGAAATGGCTACAAGTGCTGTTGTTAATTAACGATTTTTGGAATTAAAAAAAATTTTATTGAAATTAATATTTTTAATTGATAAATTTGTTTTTATATTATAAGAAAATACATATATAAAGCAAATTTATTTATTACAAAATTAATACAAAATATTTTTATTTAAGAAAATTAAGAAATACAAAAATTGAGAGATATAATCCAATTAAAATATTTATAAAAGAAAATTAAATTATGCAAAATAAAAATAAATAAACGTATAAATAAAGAGAAAGATTTACATAGATTAGATAAGATAAAATAGTTAAGAAATATTTATTAGAAATAATGGAGATTTAAATAAGAATGCCGTTCTCGATTAAAGGCTTTTTTTGGTTAATTTTCTCCATTTTTGATTAATAATTAAACTTAAATAGATTATTTAGATAAACATGACAAAATTATATTAATTAGTATTCCAGCATTCAAATAAATTTTTCTGATTTAATTCCCCCATGTTATCTCCTTTTAAATAGGCTCTGGTGACAAACGTGGATAAATGCGCCTTCTTGGTTCCTTAAAATTTTTTTAAAAATAATTTAAGAAGAAACATAAATACACCTTTTCTCCCTTTTCCTCTTCATCTGAATCTATTAATTGTTCAACTGTCGGAGCACTTGGTGTGTAAGGTGGTGGAGGTGTTCCAAATTTAGTATTTTTATTTAATGAAGTTCTGGCTATACGTTGTACTAAATTATCTTTAATTATCGGAATTGTAGTTGAAGGTAACGGTTCTTCACTTCGACGACGGAATTGAGTATTGGTAATTTGTTTTATTGGAGGGATAAGTCGAGGCAGATGAATCTAAAAGAATGTTATAAAAAATAATAAAACATTAATTAATTAAGACATCCAAATACGCACAAAGAATTCGAGAACAGATGGAATCCTTGTAGGGCCTCGCAAAAAATATTTCTAAATTCATAGTAAATTCCCCGAAAAAATTTCTACGGTACTTTTCGATACACGCCCTTAATTAATGCTAAATATTAGGGTTGTCGGTTCTGGGCCGAACCAAAGAACCGAGGATTTTTCAGTTCGATTCTTCAATTCGGTTCCGGATACTCGAAGATTTTCCAAGAACCGACACCCCTACTAAATACATAAAAGTACCCAACATACAATTCACTAATTAAGGAGAGAATAAAATACTAATAATATTAAATTCAAATAAATAATAGATAAAAGTATATTTATAATTTTTTTATTTCCAAATCACCTCTTTATCAAAAAGCGCCTTCTCCAATTTTTCCATACGTTTTCGAGTTTTAGGTATTCCATCATAGAACATATTTTTAATGTTTTTAATGGTTGATATTTGAGGCACACATTCAGCCAAATCCCTTTGACAAGAAAATATTAAATTCGTTGTTGTTGCAAAATTACAATGTAAATCGGCAATTCCCTTTTTTAATTTTTAAAAAATAATTTTTTTTTAATATTTTATTATTTTTACTTTAATAGCTTCTCTAAATTGTTTCATTTTAATTATGTCAGCTTCAGCTCTCTTTTTCTTCACTTCTTCCTTTCTCACCATTAATTCCCCTACAACTTCATACCAAACACTTTTAACTTCATTTGGGTCTTTTGGAAAAGAGGAAGTACTCGATTTTCGACTCCAAAACTTTTTATTATTTTCTCCCTTATTTTCATTATTATTACAAGCTAAATTTAATTGACGTTCACGTTCTTCCAAATCTTCAAGTTTTTCTTCTTCTGTTTGTATATTCCTTTCTGTGTCAGCAACTTTTCTAAGTTTCTCAAGAAAATTTTCATAATTTTTTGCAAATGTTCGTTGATTTTCAGCTTGCACACGAAGAAGTTCACAAGTCCACCCTACAACATCCCCAATTGCATTATTTGGTGTTTGTTTTGCCCATTCTTCCAAATAATCTGCACTTATTTCTTGAGCATCAGCTGTCTGAAGGGTTAACTTTCTACAAAAGAAAATTAAAGAATTTAATAATAAATTGATTCTAGGGTAATTCTTAGGTTTACACCTCCACCATTTTCCTGAATCCTTTAAAAAAATTTTAGCCTTCTTGCTTGATCTATAATTTAGACATATCATTCGAAAAAGCACTTCGATCTGGGTAGAATATCGGGTAGATTTGGTAATACTTAACAAAATTAAGAAGCTGGATCTTTTCTGCGAAAGCTTTTTGTTCCTCTGCAAGGGATTAAAACAAGTGATCATAACTTTGTTCAGTAAAGTCGGATTTCGTTTATTTTAGTTCCATTCGATTCAGCTCGAAAAGCTCTTTTGAATGATATAACAAGATAAAGATGCCGCAAAGGGAGTCAGGAAGATGGTGGGGGTCTAAGCCGAAGAATTAGTGATTCTAGTTATATTTTAATGAATGGGAAAATTAAAAAAAACATACGTAGTTGAACGTAATGTTTCAATGCTTATTAATAGCTGAAAATTAGGTATATTTTAATTTAAAAAATATTTTTAATATACATGACTCATATCTTCTGGTTCTTTTAATTTTAATTTGTTTGTATTTTGTGTTGTTTTATTAAAAATGGTTGAGAAATTGGAAGGTGAATTTGAAGTAAGATTGGAAGGGGCACTGTGTCGAGGCATTTTATTTGCTTTAAAACACTCCTGAAGATGGGAATTTTATAAGGGGAATTAGTGAGTTTATTTATAATGAGCGGCACTTCAAAGAAAGTTTAATAAGGAAAAGATTCGGAAAAGTATAAAGAGAACTTCAATCAAAGTTTAACTAAAGAAGGGAAAATTGATAACAAGTAAATTAAAATACCAATAAAGATTAATAATTATTAAAGCCTCATCAATTATTTTGAAAGATTTTTTAAAGTATTTTTCAGTGAAAACATACCTTTCTCTTAGATTTTCTTTTATTTAATGTCGGTATTTGAGCAACATTTAGAAAAAGAAGAGAAAGCATTTTAATTAAGTTTAATAAAAATTACAGTGGAATTATTAGTTTATTTTTTTAGTTTTATTTTGAATTTGTTTTTAAATGTATCTACTTGTTATTATTTTTCATAAAAATGAAGATAAAAAAATACTAGTAATTCCCAAAGGAGATCAAAAAGATTTTTATAAAAACGTGAAAAACGTTGAAAAATTTTTCAAAAAAATAAACTAACGTCTTTTGATTTAAATGAATTAAATTATGTCGGTTCAGGCACGTACATAAAGAAAGGGAGGAATTTTTATTCCATCGTGGTAAAGTGGGGTCAATTTTATAGGGTCGACTTTTGGCATTTTTTGGCACAAAATAATTTTTCTTAGGCCAAATTTAAAAAAAAAACTTATTTTTTAAATCGATTTTTAACGAAAAATAGTACAAAACAAAAACATATACCCAACATAATTGATTGAACCATATAGACAATGCTTGCGGGGCCTGCTGCCAACAGTGCAAATGTAAAATAAATGGGGGTTTCCTCCCTTTGGTGACCGCTATATTTATCGACAAATGGGCAACCCCTATGACCAAAACGCATTTTAGTGGGAGAGGCACAGGAATGGAAGAAACCGCAAAAATAAAATTGCGATATTCCTTAAATTATTTGCGGTCTAATTTTATCAAATCAATATTTCTCAAATTTTCTATCCAAATAAGTAAAAAAATTTATTCAGATAAAATCAAAATATCCAATTTTGAAATTGAGATTTAGGTAATAATTTAAAAATAAAAAAAATAAATTATACTATAGAGAATTCGATAAATTAATTTGTCATTTTAATTGTCGAGGGAAGCCAAGAAGGCCCTTCAATCTCCTCAGTCTTCAAATTTGTATAATAAAGTCGAGAACGTTTCAAACAAGTCTCCCAATCATAAAAAGGTTTAACGTCAAAAAATACTCGAAGTTTATAACCAGAATAAAAAGTCCAATGGCGTAATAAAAGATAAATAAGATTTGGAGATGGCAACTAAAAAATTGGGTACTTTTCAGTTATACGACCGCGAACTGAGTGCCAGCCGATTTTGAACAGCTATAACTTTTGATGCTTGATCAAAAACAAATGGATTTTATATCATTCGAAAGCCCTCAATAACCTGTATATTTTTCTGATAAGATAGATCAGATATGATCAGTCATTAAAAATTTATAACCGTTAAGTCCAGTTATTTGATGTTTTTCACTTTTATCGAGTTATAACTTTTTTATGAGTGATCTGACTTGATCTATTCTATTAGAAAAAATATACAGCTTATCGAGGGCTTTCGAATGATATAAAATTCATTTGTATAGGATCAAGCATCAAAAAGTTATAACCGATCAAATTCGTTTGGCACTCAGTTTGCGGTCGTATAACGGAAAAGTACCAGAATTAGTAATTAAAAATTTTTAAAAAAATTAAAAAATACATAATTAAGACTCAAATGCAAATTGGAAATATTTGTAATTAACTGCACCAACCAACAAATAAATAAATATGGAAAGAAGATAAGCCAAAAAGGAATTGTCCAAGTACTAAAAATAAAGGTAATATGTAGTGTCGTTTCCAGTCCCCCTTTTTCTTCCCCAAGTTTTTTCCTATAATTTGTACAGAATGGACAGCCTTTCCTTTCCATTGCCTGCCTTTCTTTCTAAAGAACTGGAGAAAATAATCATTTTTGATTGTTTGTAGGCGAAATATTTTAAGGCAATTGTGATCGAAGAAGGAAATTTCTTCCAATTTTGTACAAATTATAGGAAAAACTTGGGGAGGAAAAAGGGGGACTGGAATTAAAAATCTCCCAACTTCCTTTTAAATTAACCTCTTTGTAATTTCCTCGTGTCCAATATCAACCTCTTTTGAATCCAACATTCCATCCAGAATTAAAGAATAAAAGTCATGTAAAGGGGTGTCATCACAAATTAAAACTGTCTCACAAGAATTTTTGTTTTCAGAATCCATTAACTTTTGGCCACACGAAAGTAGAGAAAATGCAACATTTCCAGCATATGTAAACTGTGGAAATAATGATAAAATAAAAAAATACTTGGGAAGGGCTTTATAATAAAGTATTACAGATTAGAAGGAATAGGGAAGTTGCAGAAAAATGGGAATTTTTTAATTTCATATTGCTACAGGAAAAATTAGTTGTTCAGATAATTAACGAAATTTCTTTTTACATTTTAGAAAAAAAATAAATACAAAAAAATTTTACTTGAAGTACACCCATATCCTTATGATTTCCAATTCGGGGAACATATCCAAAATATTTATTAACCAAAAGAGTATCACAGACCAATGAGCGCCGGTCACCTTCACCATATACTGGACCAACACGTGCAATAACAACAGAAAATTTATTGTCTAAAATATTTAAAAGGATAAATAGGCCAATATTTTTGTGGGACTGAAAAAACAATTTGAGCAATTCATGGCTATTTCAAATTTTTTTTCTCGAAAATATGGAAAGACAAGCCACCAGATTTCGCCAATTTTTTGCTAAAAATATTATCGAGTCTTTATCGAGTCGGGCCGCATTTTTTCGAGTCAACTTTTTAGGACCGGCCCGACCGAGTCTTTTTCGGGCCAAAATTCAATGCCCGACTCGATCTTTTGGACCGGACCCCCAACCCTAATTATAGGATTAATCATTTTTATTCTGTTAACATAAAAATAAACCTAAATTGTTTCTCAAAAATTCCTCAGCCATAAGTTTACTTTTGCAATATTGTGGAAAAGGACACTCGTTCAGAAATTGTTTAAAATCCTCAGATTCTCTTCCATAAACATTTGGCCATTTTGTTGAACATTGAAGATAAGTGGTACTTAAATGGACTAACACAGTAACCTTTGAAGTTTTGCAATAAGAAATCACTTCAGCAACAACTAAAATTTAAGGGACAATCAAATTTGGCCCTATTCCAAAAAAAGGCGGAATCGTTTTTTTTTTCATTACTTGCAAGGAAAGGAAAAATGGAAAGGAAAAAGGAGACGGCTGGATACGGACAGACAAAACACGACCAGAAATGTTTTAGAAATTGATTCCGTGTTTTGTCTGTCCGCGTCCGTTCGTGTTTTGCTTGTCCATGTCCATCCGTCTCCATTTTTCCTTTCTTTGCAAGTAATGAAAAAACGATTCCGCCCTTCTTTTGGGATAATCAAATTCAAAAAACCAACATTCAACGTTGTTTTTGTTTAACTCCTCCATATTTGGTGTCAAAGACAAATCTTGTAGTTCATGCACATTAATAACCTTTATAAAATTTTAACTTAAAAATAATTTAAATTAAAAACCATTTCCGAGCCTTCAATTGCTTCTTTTAAGCCATCCAGTTTGTAATTATAATTCCAAAGAGTTTTGTCAATATCAGAAAAAACGTTGTCAATCACCCTAACTATATGTTGTCCCAAAAGTGTATTTGCCCCAAGAATTGTAATTTTCTTCATTTTTAATAAAAAAAAGTTTAATAAATAAAGTCAATGATCTCTTTAGCTCGATGAGAGGAATCGTTTAATACTAAATTTTGAAAAATCAAGAAATCTTGAAGCAAGTTATCGCTTTGAGCCTACTTGGCCGCTTAAATAGCAAAATTATCCGGGAAAGGAGTACAGGACGTTTCATGGTAGGCGTTTTAGAGTAGGGACGTTTCAGAGTCGCCGATTCAGAGTTTATCGAAAAAATTTTGTTCCAAAGTAATTTTTATTTTTCAGAATCGTCTCATTCTTTTGCAAAATTTATTATTAAAATTGATTAGATGGACATGGACATTGTGAAAAAGAAGGTATTTCCGTATATTTATTTAATTTTAACTTTTTTTCTTGCAGGTTTATGTGCCCGGTATAAGCCGCTCAGTGAAAGAAACGGAAGAACTTACCTATGATCCAAAGGCTTATCTCCTTTTGCACACATTTGAAACAGGTTAAATTTTTGATCGTTTAATTATTTAATTAGATATATTTTAAAGAGTATCCGTGTCTGAGTTTTGACGTTATTCCTGATTCTTTGGGCGTTAATAGGCAAAGTTTTCCGATGACATCTTGGATTGTTACCGGAACTCAGGTTTTCTTTTTTAATATTGAGCTGATTGGGCTTTCATTTATTTGTATAATTTTAGGGACGTATGGGTTATCCCAAACCTGTTCTTTCGGACATTTTATGCGGACTCATTTAACAATAAGTACAAAATGATCAGATCAATCCTCAATTTCACTCTTTCCTGTGGCCTTTCCACATTAATGTCTCACATTGAAAATTCCACAGGGGAGAAATTGAGGAAGAATATTGAGGCATGAGTCTGCATAAATTGTCTGCAAAAACTGGTTTGGGATAACCCATAAGTACCAATTTTAATTTTGAAATTTTTTAAACCCTTGAGGAACTTAAATTATTTATTAAAAAAATTATTAAAAATTCGTTCACCTTTTTAGGCAGACAAATCACATTCAAATCAACTTATGGTTATGCGGTTATCTAATATGCATGCGAATAAAAGTGCCTTAAAATCCAAAGCAAAAGAATCTAAAAATGATGATGGAGAAAGTAGTTCTAGCAGTGATGATAGCAGTGAAGATGAGGATGAAGAAGACGAAGCAAATCTTGTCAATGATCGACCTGGAAAGAAAGAACCAAGAATGCATGCTTCTTTAGTTTCTCACCATGGCGGCGTTAATCGGATTAAGGTTTTAATTTTTAAATAACGATTTTTTGTGTATTTTTAATATTATTTTCGTTGCGAAAAAGGGTATCAAAACTTCCGTATTCATTTTCAGGGCTTCCGATACGAACCTTGTTTCTACCTTTGGCGTTTTTATTTTAAATTTACTCTGTTTGAGTTTTATCCTCCCACTTTCACTTGGCTGCTCTATTCACATATTTTCCGACCCTATCCCAAAAGAAGGGCGGAATCGTTTTTTTCATTGTTTACAAGGAAAGGAAAAATTAAGAAAAATCGAAACGGATGGATGCGGACAAGCAAAACACGGACGGTGTGTGTGATTTGTCTGTCCGAGTCCGTCCGTGTTTTGTTTGTCCGTGTCCACCCGTTTCCTTTTTTCCATTTTTCCTTTCCCTACAGTTAATGAAAAAACGATTCCGCCCTTCTTTTGGGATAGGGCCTATTTTCCTATCTTTTAAAATTTTTAATTTAAGTTTCAACGTCTCGGATCAAGCGATGTTTGTGCTGTTTGGAATGATCAACGAAAAGTTCAAATTTGGAATTTAAACCCTTTTATTTCTTGTATTGAAAATATTTCTCTTTCTGAATCTACCAAAAGTATTGCATTGAAGAATGAGAAGCCTCTTTTCAGTAAAGAATATTCGGCCGAAGGTTTTGCACTTGCCTGGTCATCTTTACAAACTGGTTCTTTGGCAACTGGAGATCATCATAGAAAGGTTTTTCTTCATTACTCTTGATAATTTTATATTTGTGTGAATATACTCTTAGGTATTTTATAAAATTACTTTCAAGGAAGCATCCCGAACTGTGTAAAAAGTTCGTAATTTTTTGCACAATCGTTTGGAGTAGGGTCGATAATTTTTTGCCAGTTTTTGGCTTTTCGGACCTGACCCTCATTTCGAAAAGTTATAGGGGTTCATAGTTTTCGGATTTTGGAGTGATAGTCTCCCTCATTTTTCCTATTAAAGAGAAATTTTTCTCCACTTAAAGAGAAAAATGAGGCTCCTATTCTCCGTTTTTCCTTTCCAAGTGCAAAAAAATTACGAAGTTTTTACATACATGTTCGAAATGTTCCCTTCTTAATCTTTTAATAGACGTTTGTAATTATTTAGATTTCTCTTTGGAAAATGACAGAAGGAGGGAAATGGATAGTTGACGCTAACGCTTTAACTGATCATCGTGGATCTGTTGAAGATTTAGGTTATTTTTGTAAAAAATTTTTTAATCAATTATTTTTTTCAGTTTGGTCGCCAACTGAAGAATCCTTGCTTGTATCATGTTCTACTGATAGAACGATGTATTTATAAATTAATTTATTTTTTTAAATAAAATTTAGTCGCCTATGGGATGTTCGTTCTCCGCCGAGACAGGCTTGTGTTTGCACAATTAAGGATGCCCATGAAGCTGATGTGAATGTATTGAGTTGGAATACTGGTACTGATCCACTAATTGTATCAGGAGGGGATGATGGTGCTTTGTTTGTTTGGTCATTAAAAACAATTCAAGTAAGAATTTTTTGAATGTGTCATTTTTTCAGTACCTTAAAATTTTTTTGTCAATTTTAACAATTGTTTCCCTAATTTCAGTACAACCAACCAGTTGCCAAATTCATTCACCATCGCAAGCCTGTAACTTCTGTTGAATGGAGCCCTCATGACAGTACAGTGTTTATGGCTTCTGGGGAAGATGATCAGACAACTATTTGGGATTTGGCTTTAGAAGCAGATGAACCAAAATATTCTAATGGAATCGAAGAAGACGAAGGAATGGAAGAGGACGACGGAGAAGAAAAGAAAACAAAGGTCGATGGGGTTGAACAACTCCCACCACAGCTTCTCTTTATTCATATGGGCCAAAAAGGTTAATAGAATTTTTATTTATCTAAATTATTTTTTTTTTCTAATTTAGAAGTAAAAGAAGTTCACTGGCATCAACAATGCCCTGGTCTAGCATTGACAACATCACTTGATGGATTCCATGTATTTAAAACAATTAATTGTTGATTAGAATGTTTTTTTGTTACAAAATTTATAATAATTTATACAATCTTTAGATAAAATAAAATGTTAAATAGTTTGCTTTGTTCTGGTTGTGTTAAAACATTCCAAATTTACTCCTAAAAATTTATTAAGGATTTAAATTATTTTTAGCTGCCATGAACTCTAGCGTTCTATTTCTGACGTCGACGTTCAAACCCGGTGAGAATTTGATTAGAAGAGTAGATATAAAAATGTTAACGTTCCCAGGTAAATTTATCACGGCACAATTAAGAAATTTTTCTGCTCCTGCGTCTTCTATTTCTGACGGAGAAGTTCTGATTGATCGTATTAAACAAAAATTGGTGATTACATTAAATCGTCCAAAGGCTCTGAACGCGGTCAATCTGCCAATGATAAAGAAAATTTACGAGGCATTGCAGGTTATTTATTAAAAGGTCTTGATTAATAAAAATACATTTTTCTATCTAGGAGCCTTCTGATCTTGTTATTATTAAAGGACAAGGATTAAAGGCATTTTGTGCGGGTGGAGATGTTGTTGGTTAGATTAATGACAATTATTTTTTAACTTTATATATTTTAGCAGTTTCAAAGTCTTATCAATCTGGTGATAAAACTGAACGGATATATGACCAATTTTTTAGACACGAATATCAATTAAATCATCTTATCGGTACACTAAAGAAGCCTTACATTGCATTAATTAATGGCATTACTATGGGTGGGGTAAGGATATTTTTTGTAATTTAAATACTTTTAATTTATTGTTAAAAAGGGCTGTGGACTTTCAATAAACGGCCCTTTCCGTGTGGCTACAGAACGAACAGTACTGGCTATGCCTGAAACGGCTCTTGGATTATTTCCTGATGTTGGGGCAACACATTTTCTTCCCAGGCTTCCTGGGCATCTTGGAATGTTTTTGGGATTGACTGGTGAGTTTTTTGTGAAATTTATTTGAATTAAAAAATTGATAGTAATTTTGATTATTTTCTAAATTTTACTTGATTTGAATTCTTCGAATAACCTCGATTCTAAGGAAAATTTAAACTTAAATAATTTTTTCTTAAAAATCTAGGATATCGCCTTTACGGCTCGGATGTTTTTCATTCTGGACTTGCTACTCACTATATTGAATCTTGCGACACTACTCGTCTTAGCACCGATCTAATTTCTTTACCTACTGACCAATGCACAAATGATAACGTTAATTCAATTATAAAAAAATTCCAACCACAAAATATCGCTTCTTTTTCTTTGGATCCTTATTTGGATTTAATTGATGAATGTTTTGATGCTAATAGTGTTGAGGAAATTATGGAGAAATTAAATAAAAAAGTTTTAAAAAAAGAAGAGGGAAGTGATTTTGCTTTAGAACAATTAGAAGCTTTAGAAAAAATGGTTAGAAGAAAAAAAATTAAAAATAAAAATGACATTTAAAAAATAATTTTATTTTTTAGAGTCCTACATCTCTAAAGATCACATTCCGGCAAATTCTTCTTGGCAAAAAATTGAAATTCTCAGAGGTATGATTTTTAGAATGAATAATTTTTTGAAATATAATATTTTCAATTTAAGGTATTTCCCGTCGAATTTCGACTTTGTCAACGTTTTATTTTTGACCATGATTTTCATGAGGGATGTCGAGCCAGTAAGAAATGATTGAATTTGTCTTTGTTATATTTATTTTTATAGTTTTAATTGACAAAGATAAAAGTCCAAAATGGCAACCCTCAACACTTAAAGAAGTTAGTGAATCAAAAATTGAATATTATTTTTCAAAATTTGATGAAGTTGAAAAGGAATTAATTGTTTAGTAACCTGTTAAAAAAGTTTTGACATCAAGATTTTGTAAGTTTAATGTTAGTAAATGAATGTAAAATATGAGCAATCAAACAAGTCTAGCTTGTGATTATCGTTTTGGTCCTTTAATGAGAGGAGGTGGATATCCAAAAAGGGCATAATATGTAGGCCTTTTTTGTTTTTCAGCTCGAAAACGAACCGAAGAAAACCAAGCTCGAAAAAATGCACCGAACGTCGGCTCGAACCGAAAACGGCAACCCTAATAATATTTATTCTAGCTTTCAATAAATACGTTTTACATAATCTGTAATCTTAACTTTAAACGAATAAAGCGAGGTATCCATCTTCTCCATCTTACAAACTACTATTTACAAGACACTTTAAAGTAGAGACTAGGCCAATGAGTATTCGTTTTAGTTTTTGATTTTTTCCAAGTTGGTTTTTGATTAATTCGATTTGTCCTCATAACCAGTTCCTACTTTAAAGGCTCCTAAATATTTTTTAAAATAAATTATTATTTTAATTTAAAGTTTTATAATTTGCAAAAAAACATTTAAATAAAAACGGAAAATTTCAAAAGTATTACACAAGAGAGTTGTCATAAATTTCGAGAAGTAAATACTAAGTTAATGTTTAACAGGGTTGTGAAACTTGAAAAGAAAATTTTTAAAAATACTTTTTTATAATTTTTTTTTCCACTTTTAAAATTATTTGAGTTTTTTTTTTCTTTTTTTTTTTTTAGTTTTTTCTTTGTCTATGAAAGTCTGCCATTTTCTATTGTCTAATAAATCCAGACGTCTGAGTTTAGACAATTAATTCCCAGACTGGTCATATGAAAATTATAATTAAAGGAAGGACTTTTAAAAGTCATGAAAAAACGTATTCTCATTCATTTTTTCTTTAATTTTCTTTTCTTGGGGGAAATTGAAAGCAGAAGGCAAGGTTATAAAATTTTTTCTAGAAAATCCTAATTATTCTACTAATAAATAGGAATAATAATACCTACCTATTTTTATATTTTTGTTTTCGATTTTTCGAAAATAATTACAAAAATCAAATAATTTTTTAAACAAAAACCCTAAACTTTTATTTACTCAAAATCTTTTATTTTTCAGAAAATGATTATTCAAAAGATAATTCAATTGTTTATGTATACTATTTATATTTTTAATTGAATTTGTTAAAGCTAAAAAAGATAATATAGAAATATTTATTAAAGAACATCAACATCAACTCCAAAATATAAATGGCTTTAATAATCTTTATAGTGTTGCTTCAACTATAAATGATGATAAATTAAATAAAATTAAAATTTATTTGAATGATATAAAAAATAGCGATAATAAAGAATTTTATTTTGAAAATTATAAAGAGTTTTTGGAGTTGAATAGAAAGAAATTCGCTCTGAAAAAACAAAAATCACAGGTCCTTTTTTTAAATTTTAACTTAAAGTAGTCATTCGAATATGAATTAGAAATTCGTAAAATTATGATTTAAAATTATATTATTTTAAATTTAATTATATTTTTTACTAAAAACTAGGGTGTGCTTATAATTTTCTGACAGAGTGTACTAGTAGCCATTCTTTAAACGAAAAAATTATTTTGAATTTATGTGAATATGGGAAAATACCTACATAATCGTAATTCCCAAACCTACCTAACAAATAAGTCTATAAAGCTATTGGTCTCAAGTAAGGTTGTCCTTGTCTACAAAGTCTTAACCTTTCGCGTTAATCCTGCTGGAAATTTCTAAACAAGAAAGTTGAAAATTAATTCAAACTCAAACTTCAGTGTGGAAAGGGAAAGAGAAAAACCCTTAATACTTGGAGAGATACATATACTATATCAGGGCTGGATTTTCTTCCGCTAACCGTCTTCCACCGAATTCCGTCTTTTCCCCGAATTTTCGTCTTTTTTGTCGTTTGCCTCTCGTCCTTCTTTTTAAAATTTGTTTCAAACCCCTGTATAATTAAAGGAAAAAAATAATTTCGAAATAATTTTTAAAATTATATTTAGGAAACAGAAGAGAAAATTAAATTAATAGAAGAAATTCAAAATAAATCTGAACAACTTGGAATAAAAGATGTTTTGTATGCAATAGATTTTTGTTCAACATTTATAAAAAAAGAAATGTTAGAAAAAATTAAAAAATTTCTAAAAAATTATTGCAATAAAATTATTAAGATAAACGAAATAAAGACAAAAATATTTGAAGAAGAAACAATTGATAATAAAAAATTAAAAGAAAATAAAAACACAAAACCTTCATTACCTAAAAGTAAAACATACAAAAAATGGCCTACTATAAATTCGAATTTAATTAAATCACTTCGAAAAACAAATTCTTTTGACATTAATTCTTTTAAAGAAAAATCTGATAAATTATTAAATTCGTTCCGTAAAAGTTTATCAGAGGGAAGTCTTTTTAGACATTATTCTACTGACAATTATACAAAAAAAGATTTTCTCGAAAATTCTTTTCGTAAAATAAAATCTGCAGAAAATATGAAATTAAAAGAGGAATATATCGAAGAAATGGTAAAAAATAGTATTGAAAATCTAACTTTTGGTGAATTTAACGAAACTTTTGATGAAAAGAAAAATTTGAAGAAATTGTATTAAAAAGCTCGAACAGTAGGGTTGCCGAATATCCTGAAATTTTCGTTTCGGACATCCGATCCAGATATCCGAAGATTTCCAACTATCCGACAACCTTATTAAACAGCTTTCATTTTTAATTTAATCATTTTTTGTACATAATTAAAATTATGCTATGTACATATGTATAAATAAATGCATTTGAAAAGAAAATAATATTTTTTGAGACTAAAAATTCCAAGTTTTAAGCGATTTAATTTTCAAGTTTTCAGTATTTATTGTTATATTTTTTGCCACAGGGAAAAGTGTGGAATTGAGGAAGAAAGTCTTACCGTTGTGTACAAATTAAGGAATGACAGAGGAGGAGCGAACTTGAATTTTACAGGGCCCATCCTTGGTACTTATTTGAAAAATTCTACTTTGTCCCTCTCTTTCTACTTTGTCATTAAATTTTTTAAAGAATTGTGGAATAACAATATAATACAAATATTGGAATACAATATTGGTATTATATTTGGAATACCAATACGGATAATTTGGAATAATACCAAATTTGGAATACCAATACCAGTGTACAAATATGTACATGTGATTGTGTATATATAAAGCGGAAGGCCGAAGCGGAAGGGTAAAAAAGCGGAATTCTGCTGAATCCCTGTTGCTAATTCTCAATTATTTTATTTTTAGTTAATTAACAATTTATTCACTATAACAAAGTCAAAAATGTAACAAGCAAAAGATTAAAATTTCATTATTTTCTTTTACCCTTTTTCTTTTTTTGTTTTTTTAAGTTTTATTTTCTTCATCAATACTAAATTATTTTTATCTATTATTAAATTCAGTTAATTATTATTTTTACCTCAAGTTTACTTTCCAGGAATACATAAACCATTGTGTAGTTTATTTGACCCTGTAGGTATACAACGACTCGATATAAATTTAATAGAAAATAAGAAAATAGTAATTAATAAAATAAAAAATAATTTAATTAATTTCATTATTTAATATTTTTCTCTTCAATTTAATAAAATAAATAAATATTTTTTGTTAAGTTTATTATCTGAAAATGAAGAAGATTCAAGTAAATTACTGTTTTTATCAGGGCTGGGCATTTCGCATTTTCGCGTTTCACAACTTTAGTGCGAAAAGTTTTTATGTAAATTATGAAATTATTTTTTTCTATTATATTTAGGTTTTTAATTTATTTAATTTAAATAATAATTAAATATTTTGTATTTCCAATAATATTTTATTAGTAAAATATCAACATTTTCTTAATTTCAGTGAATTTAAATTTAGTAAGAAATGAGAATTTCATTGTATAAGATTAATAAAATAAAGGTATTATAACACAAAATCCATTGTACGTATAAATATTTAATTTAAAAATAAAAAAAAACAATTTTTATTCATACAAAAAATTAAAAAAAAATCAGAGAAAATTTATAATTAAATAAATTAAAAATTTTCGTTTATACAGGCGGCCCTCGAATTTAAATACACCCAAAATTTGATTTTAATTCTGGGTTACCACTGCGTTGGGCATTTGATTAAGCGATACCTTCATTTTAAGGTACTTTCTCATTTTTAATTTTCAACGGAATTTAAAATCGAGGACCGACTGTACTTGTACATATTTTTTTGATTATTTTTATTTCCTTTTATTTCCCTATATTTATGTTATCTTTCTTTCTTGAGCATTTTCTAACAATAATTATTCAGGTTTTTGTGTGGTATTATAAAAATAGTTTCTATTTGCGTTGTGTATTGGATCAGGAATAGAAGGTACTTTACGGCATGATGAAAATAAAAATAAAAAGAAAAATAAAAAGAATAATTTAATTAATTTCATAATTATTTTGGGAGATAATTTAAATTAAAATTCCTAAAATGATTATATAGAAACTGAAAAAATGTTAAAATTATTATTTTTATTTGGAAAAAAGAATTTTTTGTTTTAACTTTGTTTTTATGTATTTAAATGTTAAGGATCAAAGATGAGTTAAAATTTGGTAAAAAATTATTATTTTTTTGTGTTTTAGTATATAAATATGTTAGAAAAACAAGATCATGAGTCTGCAAATATTAAAATAAATATTTTAAAGGATTACCAAAAATATTGAAAAAAATTGCAAAATATGGAAAGAATTTAAAAAAAACAATTTTAATTTTTAAGAAAATTTCATATTAAATATGGTAAATAATTTTTTATTTAAAAATGATTCAATGAATCTCAATTGCCAAAAATATGTATGGAAATGAACCCGAAAATAATGAAATCTTGAATAAGGAAAAATATAAAAATATAATTAAAACTTAAATTAAATTTCTTCTCTAAAGTAGAAGAAAAATGAATTACCACATTTGTGCTAGCCTTAATTTTTTAGAAATAATTTTTTAATTATTTTATATGAATATTTAAATTAATTTTTATTGTTTAATGCTAAAAATAAAAATAAAAAGAATTTTTTGAAAATAAAATACTCTTTTAATTTATTCACATGTTTTTCATTCAAGATTTATTTTGGTTCCCAAATCCTTTTATTTACTAAAACAAAACAGAAAATATATACCAGA